CCATGCCCATCTTGGCTACTTAAGAAAGCCAAGGACGGGATTGGGACCTGGATCCTGGAGGTGGTCAACGCCTCTTTAAGAGACGGCCAGGTACCTGCCCCTTTAAAGGAGGCAGTAGTCCGGCCAGTCCTAAAGAAGGCATCCCTGGATCCAGAGGTGGCCGCCAATTAGACAGGTGGCCAACTTCCTGTTCCTAGGCAAGGTGCTAGAGCGGGTGGTGGTGGGACAACTCCAAGCACTCTTGGATGAAACTGATTATCTGGACCCATTTCAGTCCGGCTTCAGACCCGGGTATGGCACTGAGTCTGCCTTGGTCGCCCTGTACAATGACCTGTGCAGGGAGAGTGTGTCCCTGTTGGTTCTCCTGGACCTCTCAGCGGTTTTCGATACCATCGACCATGGTATCCTTCTGGATAGGCTAGCGGGATTGGGAGTTGGGGGCACTACTTTGCAGTGGTTCCACTCCTATCTCAATGGCCAATTCCAGAAGGTGGTGCTGGGTGACTATGGCTCTGTGCCATGGCAGCTATGCCATGGAGTTCCGCAGGGATCCATTTTGTCCCCTTTGCTGTTTAACATCTACATGAAACTGCTGGGAGAGGTCATCAGGAGGTGTGGGCTGTGGAATCATCAGTACAGTGAAGATACCCAGCTCTACCTCTCGTTTTCCACCAAGCCAGGTGAGGCAGTGGCTGTGCTGAACCGGTGCCTGGCTGAGGTAATGGGCTGGATGAGGGTCAATAAACTGAAGCTCAAGCCAGACAAGATGGAGGTCCTGTTGGTGGGTGGCTCGGGCCTTGGGATGGGGCACTTGGGCCTTGTCCTGAATGGGGTTGCACTCCCTCTTAGGGACATGGGACAGGGTTTGCAGCTTAGGAGAGCTTCTCGACCCTGAGCTGTCTAGAAGTTCAGGTGACGGCAGTGGTGAGGAACGCCTTCCTTCAGCTTCGGCTGATACATCAGCTGCGTCCCTTCCTGGAGAACGACTGCCTGGCAACAGTGACACACGCGTTGGTGACTTCCCGATTAGATTTCTGTAATGCACTCTATGTGGGGCTACCCTTGAAGATGGTCCAGATACTTCAGTTGGTGCAGAATAGAGCTGCCAGTTTGCTGACGGGGACTGGGCATTGTTCTCATATAACCCCAGTTCTCCATCAGCTCCACTGGCTCCCAATTGAAGTCCGGGCCCAATTCAAGGTGTGGGTTATGACCTATAAAGCCCTCAATGGCTTGGGTCCTGGGTATCTAAAGGAACGCTTGCGTCCATACATGCCCTCCTGCCCCTTGAGATCAGCAAGAGATGCCCTTCTCCGGGAACACTCCGTGAACGATATTAGGAGGGTGAGCACCCAGAGGAGGGCTTTCTCTGTGGTGGTAACCCATCTATGGAATGCGCTTCCCAGAGAGGTCTGCCTGGCGCCATCGTTATTTGTTTTTCAGTGCCAGGCTAAGACCTTTTTATTTAAAACTTATTTTAATTGTTAAATTATTTGTATTTATAGGATTTTAAATTTTTAGCCGAGATTCACTGGGGGTTTTTAAATAATTTTTTATTGTTATATGGTTATTATTTATGTATTTGTTTCTGTTGTGAGTCGCCCCGAGGCTTCGTTGCGATGGGAGCGGCATAAAAATGTTTAAGTAAATAAATAAAAATAAATAATCGCCCACACCTAATATCTATATATCCACTGCTGTCCATCTCTTCCTACCAATGATCCTAATAAAACGGAAGATTCAATAGTCTTACAATATCTTTCTTATAAATCTGCTGAATGGATAAATACCTAATGAACCAAAAAAGAACATGATATTGACAGTATACCTATCCCCTTTGCAATCAACCAAAAAAGATTTTACCATCTTGATATTCTGTTACTGAAATAGAGAGTAAGTTGAGAGAGAGCAATAGCAAAATTATTGCTCATGTGTTCTCTATTGTGAAGGATGTTTTGTCTGTTTTCATCGTTTCAAATTAACCTTCCTTCATGGCTAAGCACATGGTGTGATAAACCTTCTGTCTAAATGATTTTGATAACTGCATCCTGATCGATGTATGTGCAAGAACTGGAATGCAGCCATTCAGGGTTCTGTCGAGCAAGACTCAAATCCACAAACTTGGGAATGGGAATCAATAGGTCTAATCACAAAATCCTCCCACCCCACTTATTTTATAAATTGCATTTTTATCTTACTCCAGGTTGGTCATCCAGTTTCATGGCTGGATAGAGAAGCAGGCCCTGATTTCTCCCTCATTCAAGTAGCTATGTGAGCACTTTAAAAAATAGCTAGCATGCAATGGACTGTAAGCTGTGATGTGCAGCCCATATAATTTTACCCCTGTTTGCATAAACTTTGCAGTGATGTGGCTATAGGATTTCTTCCTGCACTAACAGTGGAGCAAAAAGATAGCTGAATGAGGTGAAATTGTGACAGTAGTGAGGTTATATGGGGAGAGAAATTAAAAAATCCACAAGTGCCTTCCCACTTATCCTAAAAGTTAACCAATTAATGTATCCCATGGCCTTCTGAATGCACCAGGTAAGGAAACCATCATAAGAGTCTTCCATCTAATGTAAGCATTGCACAGTACTGATCACAACTGTGTTGGGAGATGTTTCGTTCTATAACAAAATGAAGCCAGAGTAGTTTGACTAATGACAGTTTTGTCACATTAGGGGATAGCCTTTATCAAGTCAAATAATTTGTTCCTTCTGGCTCAGAACTGTCTACACTGACCAGCAACAGCTCTTCAGGGTTTCACATAAGGGTCTTTCCCTGACCTAACTGGGAAAGTCAGGAACTGAAACTGGGCGTCCGGGATTTCATTGTGCAAATCATGTACTCCACCAATGATCTACAACTTTTTCCAATACAACAGGTCTATATTAGCACAGACCTCGAATCCAATACAGGTCTATATTGGCTTCATGTCAATTCATAAGATTTGCAGACTTTTTAGAATGATTGAGAATTCTTTACTTTGACATGAAATACAAGTTAAGTATTAGAAATAATGGGTTCATTCCTTTAGGAAAATGATGAATTCTCTCCAGGATATCCAGGATAACTCTCCAGTTATTCTGGCAAAAAACCAATCCATTAGTCTCCTATGCCAGGGCAAGGTTTTTACAAATATCCAAGTTCTGGACCTTACCTACAGCCATTGTTCTTAAGGGCCAGGTGATTTGAAATGCTTCTTTTTTGGTGCCAAATTATATAAGAAAGGGGAAGCAAAGGTGTGCCTCAGTGCATGACATTCCAGGTTGAGAAAATACATGAATTGAACTGATGGCCAAATTCAGTATGGACCACAAAAGCAGTTGTATGAATTAGCCCTTAAGAAAACCATTGTAGAAAGCCAAGATATTTCTGCAAAAGGGAAACAAAGTTGGCATGCCCTAACAAGGAAGATATTTGAAATGTTAGGGCAGTAGTCTCGTTCAAGCACAAATTGCTGGTAGGAAATTCTGTGCTTGTGTTTGATGAGCTTTCATTAGGAATTTTTAACCAGGGTCAATTTTGTTTTGCTGTCAGTTGAACCTCAGTGTAGTTGACAGGGAACCCAGAGCTGAACTTTACAGAGCCACAACATCTCAGCCCCTCTGCACTGAAGCAGAAGGATCACAGTGCTTTGAACACATGGATCTGCCTGCATCCACACTTTCAAAAGAACTCCCTGCTTGGGGAGGGGAGGGCCAGTGCAGGGAAGTAGACCCCTTTGACAGACACATCTGCTTCGGTGCACAGGGGTGGGACGCTGCTTCTTGGAAGTGGGATTGGCTTTTTATGGTGGGGAAAAGGAAAAAGAGAGAGAGAGAGAGAGAGAGAGAGAGAGAGAGAGAGTGGAAAGAGAAAAGGAAGAGGAGAGAGGGAAGGATGAAAGAAAAAGATAGAACAGCAGAGAGAAAAAGAGCAACTCAGAGAAAGGGTGGCAAAAAGAAAAAGATGGGGGTGGGTGAAAGGAGTGATAGAGAGAGAGAAAGAGAAAAATGGTGATTCCACACATTTTTGGAACTGGTTACACCACAATTAGCTCTGGCTCTGCTACGCCAGGAAGTAGTCCTGGACTTACTTTTCCTACAGGTTGCTGGACCTTCATAGAAAAAGTTTCCCCACTTTTAGTACCTTCATTAAGTGTATGTCCTTTAATTTTTCTTTTTCCAGGCCATCTATCCTTGTTTTCCATTTGTCCCGTGTGCCCAAAGGAAGTGCTGTGTCAGTTAGTCAGCACCATCTTCAAGAGTAAAAACACCAGCTAGAATTTAGTGCAGAGCTTCTGTTGTTTCCATGCTTGCCATGTAGCAGCAACCATATGAAACAACCTGAGGGGGCGATAAACAAGATCTTGTAACACAGTAATTAATTATGATACCACTGAAACCCAATTATTTGTATGCAAATTAAAGTATACTTGTTTAGATTGTAATAAGGTTCCTGTTGTAACCCGCGATGTTACAGATGAGACCAGAGACCGGATGGTAAAATAAAGAGGAGATTTATTCCTGTGGCAGGGATCACATTCATAGAGGAATGCGGTCCGAATGGAGTTTGAATGAGGTTTTTATAGCTTCACGGTGAGTTTTCGGTAAATGGGAAACAATACAATCAGTTTTTGACAGAAATCAGAACCATGGTGACAACGGGAAGTTACAAAATCACATAGCAGCAGTTAAGCAAGCGATATAGAAGCAGATTTGATTAGCAGTAAGTTTTATCTTTTAATTTACACCTTCCAAGCAATCTTTGTCCATTACGTTGTACGTAAGCTCTTTCCACTTTCCGAGGGGAATTCTCTGAGGCAGTTACTAGTCATTTGAATGGGCTAGAGCTTAGGAGAGCTAAGCCTATCATGCACACCCTGAGACAGTTTGATTATTCTAGTGTTTGGCCGTGTCATGCCTATCTGGGGCCTAGAGGAGTCATGCCTATCTGGAGCCTAGAGGAGTCATGCCTATCTGGATGTCCTGAGAAAGCTGATAGATATTTCCACTATATCAGGATCCTGGGGAGTCAGGCATAACATTCCCCACTGATCTTAACGGGAATCGATTCCTCGATTCAGTCATGGGAAGGGGGCTATAGCCGTTCAGCCCTGGGTGTGGTCTAGTGTAAAATGTCAACACCTTTATAGTGTTGATGTGCTTTTGGACAAAGCGCGAGAGCCATTGAATCAGAAGAGGTCCGGAAATAAGAAGAAAGAGCAGTCCTAGTAGGGGTCCAGCCAGGGAAGAGAGTAGGCTGGTCAGCCATGGGGACCAGCTGAATAGCCGCTGGTACCAGTTAGAGTTTTCCATGCGGCGCTTTTCTCGGTCTTCTATCCTAGCCCGGACAAGATCCAGACTATTCCTGATGACCCCAGAGTGGTTTGCATAGAAACAGCACTTCTCATCCAATGCCGCACATAGCCCTCCCTGTTTGAGCAAGAGTAAGTCCAGCTCCCTCCTATTCTGGAGGGCTACTTCGGCAAGGGAATCGAGAGATTGTTCCAAAAACCTAATGGAGCCGTGAAGCTCTTGCAAATCCGTGTCTACCTGTTTAGATAGGTAAAATATGTCTTTATTTCCCTTAATCAGGGCACCTGCTCCCACCGCTGCGGAACGCGCGACTCCTAGATCGAGCAGTAGGGGGGCCAAAAGAGGGACGGCTCGTTTAACGCGAGCCCCAACAGGCCAATCGCCTATAGGGGTCACCTCCCCATCGGCGAGGTAGATCTTTGGGAGGACGAGAGTTAAAATGCAGAGATCCGGCTGAGGTGCCTGGGTCGCCGAAGGACTAGGGAGGGCCATGAGGAGAGTGGAAGATATACACGGCGTTAACCCGGCGCGGCAGGCGAAGAGAGTTCCATTGGGGGCCGCCAGTAAATAAGGGCTCGTGCCAGGGGCTAGAGTAATGGTGGAGGCGCAGCGGGGGTCGTTCAAGGGTCCTTGGGGACCCGTGACACAAGTCCCCACCCCCGAAAACCCTTCCAAGGTTATGGTGGGGTACAGACCCCATTGGCAGCGAGCCTGGTAGTTCTCGGAGTAGGAGAGGTTGCGGAAATCTGAAAGGGAAGCGTTTACTCCTACTCCAGTGTAGAACGGAGGTTGGGGGCTCAAGCACAGCCAGCAGTCTCCGGTTATGTTGGGGTTAGTTTCGTTGAGAACCTGGAAAACGGCCGTCACTAATTTGTACAGGCGGGAGGAATCGGCAGGGCTCTGGGGAGGAGGAGGTCCTTTTGGCTGAGGGCGAGCAGCATTAAAGCTGCGAAAAGGCTCAGTGGGCGGCCGAGGAGCGGGGTTGAGATCCGCCACCTCAGGGTACTTTAAGACTCGGTTGGGCCCTACTGGCCCCCAGGGTTGTGGGATAATTTGCTTCTGTATGGTGAATCTGACCCCCGGATCTTTCCCAGTTACATATAGTCTCAATCCCCAGGTTTTTCCTTCTGCCCAAGAATCCTCCTGGCCTCGCTGGATCGTGAGGCTCAGGGGATTCTGTTTTCCCACTCCCCTTTGACTTGATTTTACTCTTTCTACCACGATCCAGTGATCTTTCCCTCGCCCCTCCCCTTCCATCCATGTTGCGAATGTCTCGCATCCCCATTGAGCGCAATAGAAGTAAGACGCGTCCCCGCAGTCGGGACTGCCGTCCGCTGGGCAACCATAATACGCTTCAGTTTGTAAGTTTCTTTCCAGACTCTCATCCCCACACCCATACCGCCCCTGCCCTATGTACCCTCTGGTCATGGATGGTCCTTCTCTCGCAGACGGCGGAATCAGGTTCCTCCAGCGTGGGGGAAGCAGCTGGCAGAGGTCGATCCGGAAGACTGGGGAGGTATCGTGGGTGTGAGTCAGGATGGTCACCAATGGCGGAGGATTTTGTTGTATTCCATAGGAGGCGAGGTCCGTCCGCAAGGTCCACTTCACCTGCATCAGCTGATGTGGATTCTGGGGAAGGCTCCCCACCCGATGGGTGAGGATAATCAGGAGGGCTGCTAGGAAGAGGTTTTTGGTAGCCGTACTCGCAAAGGGTCTCCCGTCTGGCGCACCTTCCATTTTTCTGAAGGTCCTGGCGAAGCCGGCAGCTGCTGGGAGGAGACTTTTTTCAGCTTTACTCGTAAGGAGTCTCCCGTCTGGCGCACCCTCCATTGTTCTGAAAGTTCAGGCGAAGTAGGCTTGACCTGTGTCACGTGGAACCAGTAGGGTTTCTCAGCCAGTCTTACTGCTGTGGGAGTGGACAGGATCACCTGGTATGGCTCCTTCCACCGGGCACCTAGAGTAACAGGGTGAAAATTCTTTAGCCAGACCCAATCTCCCGGGTTAATGCGTGGGGTGGAACTAGGCACGGGATCAGGAGCGCCGTCCGTGCTGCCTGTATTAGACTGGACCTCCTGGCGAATATCCCCCCGGACTCTGACAAGGGCCTGTAGGGATTTGAGTAAGGTTTGGTTAGATAATTCGGTGCGTATTTCCTCCATTAGACGAGGAATCAGAGGTGGGGGCCGGCCAAACATTATTTCAAAGGGGGTAAAACCCTTTTTATAAGGGGAACAGTGCGCACGCATGAGGGCAAAGGGAAGGAGGTTTGTCCAGGGATCACCAACTTCAAGAGCATATTTCGTTAGAGTTTCTTTTAAGGTTCTATTCATACGTTCCACCTGGCCAGAGCTCTGCGGTCGATAGACGCAGTGCAATTTCCAATCTACTCCTAAAGTCTTACCAGTTTGGAAGTTTGGGCGACGAACGCCGGCCCATTATCGGAGCCCAAAGCTAGGGGTATTCCAAATCGTGGCAATATCTGGTGTAGTAGGGTCCGGGCAGCAATTACTGCCGTCTCTCCTTTGGTGGGAAAGGCTTCTACCCACCCGGAATGGGTGTCCACAAAAACCAAAAGGAATCAGTACTTGCCTTTTGTAGGTTTTATTTCGGTAAAATCAATCTTCCAATGTTCACCTGGTTGTTGTCCTCTGTGTCGGACGCCCTGGGCGGCGGAGGGCCGGCTGGCACCTGCGTTGACCTGGGCGCACGTGGCACACCTGGAGGTGATAGAATCGGCCAAATCCGAGAGTCCCAGCAAGTAGAAATGGGGGCGGAACAGTTGGCAGAGTCGGCTCATTCCCAGGTGTGTAGCTCGATGGGTCTGAAAAAGGAGGTCTCGCCCCAGTGCTTGGGGAAGAAAAATCCTTCCATCGGGGCATTTCAGCCATCCTGCCTTAGTCTCAGAGCACTGTAGCCTCTTCCCCATCTCGATCTCCTCCTCTGAGTAGGTCGGTCGATCCGGGAGAGCTCGGGACGGTAGCTGAACCGGGAGGATTTCAAGGGCAAACCCCACTGTTCTCAAAGCGGCTTCCTTTGTGGTTCTGTCAGCGAAATTATTTCCCCGCGAGATCACCGAGTCATCCCGTTGGTGCCCAGGACAATGAATTATAGCCACACGTTCTGGCAGCCAGAGAGCCTCCAGGAGGGACACGATTTCATTTGCGTTCTTAATGTCCTTCCCTCCGGAGGTTAACAGTCCTCGTTCTTGATACAAAGCCCCATGGACGTGAGCCATGGCGAAAGCATATCGGCTATCCGTATAAATATTAAGAGTCTTTCCCTTTCCCCATCGGAGACCCTGTGTCAGGGCGATCAGTTCCGCCTTTTGAGCCGAGGTATCATGCCCCAAAGACTGTGCCCATATTACTTCCGAGCTGGTGACCACCGCTGCTCCCGCACACCGATTGCCGTCCTTCACGAAACTGCTTCCGTCCGTAAACACATCGAGGGCTGGTGGTCCCAGTGGTACGTCCGTCAGGTCTGGTCTGGTGCCGGTGAGTGCGTCAAGGACTTCAGCGCAATCATGGGAGGGGCTCTCTGGTTGATCGTCCAGCAGTAGAGTCACTGGATTAAGGATGGCTGTTTTGGAAAAGGTGACCCGCGGGGATCCAACAACAGTACCTGGTATTGTGTAACTCGAGCATTGGAGATCCATCGGTCAGGTGGGCTGTGGAGTAGGGTTTCCACGGCATGAGCCCCAGTGACGTGGAGGTCTTGTCCCAGGGTTAGTTTCTTGGTTTCCTTCACCAAGATCGCCGTTGCTGCGATCGACTTCATGCAAGTGGGCCACCCCGCCGCTACCAGATCTAAACGTTTCGATAAGTAAGCAACTGGTCGTCTCCATGGGCCCAAAGTCTGAGTGAGGACCCCCCTCGCTATGCCCCGGGCTTCGGCCACGAAGAGCTGGAAGGATTTCTTGAGATCGGGTAGGGCCAGTGCCAGTGCTGTAGTAATCGCCCTTTTAAGAGCCTGAAACGCCGATTGCTCTACCTCTGTCCAAATAAGGGAGTCGCCTTTCCCTCCCTATTGCCTTTCCGGCAAAGCCGGGGATCCATAGTTGGCAATACCCCACTGTGCCCAAGAATTCCCTTACTTGCCACTTAGTCGTGGGCGTTGGGATATTCTGAATCGCTTGGACTCGGCTGGCCGACAGCATCCGTTTTCCCCCCTTCAGATCAAACCCCGAATAAGTCATTTGCCTGCTGCAGATTTGTGCCTTCTTTGCTGAGACCCGGTAACCCAGAGAACCTAGAGCTGTTAGGAGGTTCCGGGTTGCATGTAGGCACACAGAGGCGGATTTCGCTGCCAGAAGCAGGTCATCCACATATTGCAGGAGAGTAACCTCGGGGTGCATTTCCCTAAAAGGGAAAAGGTCCTTACTCAGAGCTTCATCGAATAACGTGGGGGAGTTCTTGAATCCCTGCAGCAACCATGTCCAGGTGAGTTGACCTGAGAAGCCTTGGTTCGGATCAGTCCACTCAAAAGCAAAAAGAGGCTGACTCACCGGTGCCAGAAGTATACAGAAGAAGGCGTCCTTTAAATCCAAGACCGAATACCATATCCGGCCTGGCGGCAACTGGCTGAGCAGGGTGTAAGGGTTAGGAACGGTTGTGTGGATAGTCTCTACCCGAGCATTTACCTCTCGTAAGTCCTGGACTGGCCGATAGTCTCCAGTACCGGGTTTCTTGACTGGCAGCAGCGGAGTGTTCCATGGTGACCTGCAGGGTACTAAAATTCCTGCTTCCAAAAGTCTCTGTATGTGCGTACGTATTCCCAATTTCGCCTGGAGCGGAATAGGGTATTGTGGTTTTCGAATCGGAGTAGCTGAACTATTAAGCTGTACAACGATTGGAGGCTGATGAGATGCTAGACCAGGGGGGTTGCTCTCAGCCCATACTCCTGGGATCTCTCTTTGGAGTTCTCTCAAAGCCTCAGAGGGAGTTTCAGGGATCTGGTTCTCAAAGAAAAGATACTCGTCTTCTAGGGACACTGTAAGCAAAAGAGCAGCGGGCTGCTGGGCACCAAGGCTTAAATGAGTGCCATCTTCTTGGAACGATACTGATGCCCGCAGCTTCCGTAGGAGGTCCCGTCCCAACAGGGGGTAAGGGCATTCAGGGATTACCAAAAACGAGTGGGTGCTAGTCCATTTTCACAGGTCAGTTATGCGGGCTGAAGTCCATGGGTAAGTCCTGGGTCGCCCTGTTGCCCCTGTAATTTGAGTCTTTTCTTTGGTGAGTTCCCCGACCCCCTTTTGGAGTATGGAGTGGGCTGCTCCGGTGTCCACCAAGAATGTGGTTGGTTGGCCCCCCACAGTTAAGGTTACCAAGGGCTCTTGGGGGCCTAGATTGACAGAGCCCTGGCCCCTTCAGTCTTCCTCCAGGGTGAGGAGACTTCCCTTCCTCGGGTCTACTTTCATCTGAGCCTTTTTGCGGGGGCATTCATTTTTCCAGTCACCCATCTCCTTGCAGTAGGCGCATTGATTCTTACCCAAAGGGGGGGGTGGCCTCCCCGTCCCTGAGGGCCCTTTTTCCGCTGGGTCCCTCGTCCCCTACTGCTTGTTTCCTGTAGGGTTGCTAAAACGACTTTCGTCATTTTCTTTGTGCCTGTCACCTCCGGGTCTTCCCGATTGTTGAAGACTTTCTGCACTATTTCAACCAGTTCGCTAAGATTCTTCCCCTCGAACCCATCTAATTTCTGGATTTTCTTTCTAATATCTGAGGCTGACTGACTTACAAAAGCTATGTTAATAGCCCTCGCGTTCTCGGGTGCCCGGGGATCTATAGGCGTATACTGCCTGTATGCCCCAAGCAGACGTTCTAGGTATGAGGCTGGAGATTCCCGGGCTCCCTGAACGACTTCGCTAACCTTAGTCAAGTTAGTTGGCTTTCGTGCTGCGCCACGCAAGCCTTGCAACAAGAGTTGGCGGTACCTGATCAAAGCTCCTTCACCAGCATCTGAATTCGGATCCCAATTGGGTTGTTGGGCCGGGAGGTGCTCCTCCAGAATAATCGGATTAGTGGTGGGTTGGCCATCCGTGCCCAGAACCTGCTTCCGAGCTTCAAGGCAAATTCGATCCCGTTCTTCGGAAGTAAAGAGGACCTGTAAGAGTTGCTGACAATCGTCCCAAGTGGGGCGATGAGTGTAAAAAATTGTTTCTAATAGCGAAATCAGACTTTGGGGTTTCTCAGAAAAAGGGGGATTCTGCTGCTTCCAATTGTAAAGATCGCTTGCGGAGAAGGGAACATAAATCATGAACGGCTGGGTGGTCCCCGAGGTTGGTGCAAGTTCGCGAAGGGGTAGAAGGGCAGAGGGTCCCGATGAATCAGGTGATGAGCCTTCAGCGGCTCCTGGCCCTAGGGGTGACCGCTGCGAGTATGGTGGGGACTGCAGAAGGGAGTAGCCTCATTCCCAGGGCTCTGAGATTCGGGGGCATAAGGAGGGGGTTGAGCCCACGTCTCTAGAGGGTCATCTGTTGGAATCTCAGGGTAAATACTCGGAGGAGGCCGAGGGGAAGATTTCTTGATCTTGGCATCTGTTTGGGGTTTCTCCGAAACCTGCCTGGTAGCTCCTATAGCCGCAATGAGTGGGGTGGGCTTGGATCTTCGTTCGTTCCGCCTACAACTTTTGATGTAAGAGGGCCGTTCGGTGGCAATATCCATCCAGGTGTCTATATAGGGACTCTGATCGGACTGACCGGGGTTCCTATGGATTACAGATCGGACTTCCCACAGAAGGGAAAGTTCGAACAAGCCTTCCGGCGGCCATCCCACATCAAAAGCTGCCCATTGTGATTCGCAGAGAGCTTGGAGTGTGCCCGAATCTGCAGATACTCCGAATCCGGAAGCCCTTTTGGAAAAATCAGAGAAATTATTTAAGAGACATTGCAGAGGGGTAAGCGGAAGGGATTGACGTTGACCTATCTTCCTGATCTGGGGAAAAAAAATCTTTACAGAGAACAAGTGTAGAGAAAAAAACGAGACAGGAGACACCTTTTTACAAAGAACAAAAAGCCGGCAAGCACACACACACATAGCAGAATCGGCCAATACCGGGACCGGCGAGCGGCCAATACCGGAACGGACCGCCGCGACCGGGGCCGATGTCTCGTACCCTCGACCGGAAAGTAGCTTGTAATGCTGCGTCCAGCTAAGCTGTTCTTTCCAACACAGAGATCTGCAGATATCCAGAAAGAAACAGAGACAGAAGGCGGAAAGAAAGGAAAATCCGCCGTGCGCACTTACCAATTACTCCTCTTTCAGCCAGACATCCCACCGAACCGGGGTAAAAAGAAAAAGGCTAAAACCGCCTGTAGGGCCCGTCCCGGGTTCGAGGGAGGCCAGACCGCTGGTCTCTGATCTCGCTGGGGCCTCCAAATGTTGTAACCCGCGATGTTACAGATGAGACCAGAGACCGGATGGTAAAATAAAGAGGAGATTTATTCCTGCGGCAGGGATCACATTCATAGAGGAATGCGGTCCCGAATGGAGTTTGAATGAGGTTTTTATAGCTTCACAGTGAGTTTTCCGTAAATGGGAAACAATACAATCAGTTTTTGACAGAAATCAGAACCATGGTGACAACGGGAAGTTACAAAATCACATAGCAGCAGTTAAGCAAGCGATATAGAAGCAGATTTGATTAGCAGTAAGTTTTATCTTTTAATTTACACCTTCCAAGCAATCTTTGTCCATTACGTTGTACGTAAGCTCTTTCCACTTTCCGAGGGGAATTCTCTGAGGCAGTTACTAGTCATTTGAATGGGCTAGAGCTTAGGAGAGCTAAGCCTATCATGCACACCCTGAGACAGTTTGATTATTCTAGTGTTTGGCCGTGTCATGCCTATCTGGGGCCTAGAGGAGTCATGCCTATCTGGGGCCTAGAGGAGTCATGCCTATCTGGATGTCCTGAGAAAGCTGATAGATATTTCCACTATATCAGGATCCTGGGGAGTCAGGCATAACAGTTTCCAGCTAGGATGTTCGATATCTCCTGCACCTTTAGTGTTCGCCAGTAGAAATTTCAGTGAAGTGAAGAAAGAATGATTCTCTGGAATTTTGCCTGCAACCCACCTACAGCTAACAGGCAAGACGATCAGGCTCTGCTTTCAATTTGAAGTGACTTTGATGTGCAGAAGAAAGCAAGTCCTGGCCAATATACAACCATTGTCATGTGACTTTTCTTTTCTGAGCTATTAAACTTCCCAAACATCTTTTAAACTTTACAAATATACAAACATTTTACATTTTTTTCTATTTCATAGATGAAAGCCCTCAGGAATTTAGAACTAGCAAGTAAGCTATTTTACAGCATTCTTAAGATCTTGCGATATACTTATCTCCCATTGGATAGAAATCCCATCCTACCCCAGCTCCTTTATTATTATTATCCATGTCTATATTCTTTTTGGAGTATCGAAAGTATTGCACTCTGGTTTGTTATTCAGTTGTTTTTCATTCACCTTTCCAACAAACCCATGAGATAGGTCAACACAATACCTCTTTTACAAAGAGCAAGCAAAAGTCAAGTCTTATAGTTAACATAAGAATTGCAGCACAAACTACATTTCCTTCCTTATCGATACTTCCATTTCCTTATCAATACTTCTTGCAGCTAGGGATTGACAAAACTGCCAATGTTGCTTTCACCCACTTTTTTTTTTTTTTAAGAAAAAAAATAATGAAGAAATTTGTGAAATTTGATAGGCTGTTCTACAAACTGGATGGAATTTTACCTATCTGGATCCAAACAGGTACAACTGTTCCCAGCATGGACAGGCCCATAATGTACCTGCTTGTCATTTAGCTTTTAAAGCTTTCCATTCAGGAAAAGAATAAAAAGAGTGTTGACCTTAATTCAGCACCACAAATGTGGTTGAATGCACAAGGGCTCATCCAGATAAGTCTCTTATAGTGCAGTCTCACTACCTCATTCATAGAATTTTACAGGGCATCCAAATGCAGTTTGTAACCCTCCTGTGCTTTTTTGCTGCTTCTTCCATTTTGTCTCTTACTAGAAAACAAATCTGTTAAGGGCAGGAAAATGGAACTATACAATACCTTTTGATTGTTAGCCATAGGAGATTTCCAATCCAAATCAAGAGTGTTCAAAGCACTCTTCATGGATGGATGGAGCCATCAGATTCACTTTCTTCCACAATCATATTTTTAAAATCCCAAGTTCTTTCTATCTCATTTATGAAAAAATGTGTGCATTTTGGTAAGTTATTTGCTTGTTCCCTTAATCTTAAATGAAATGAACATAATTCTTCTCTATCATGCTCCAAGCCTTAAGGCTGAAAGGCTTTATTGTACAACACTCCTCACATAACTGGATCTACTTTGGGTCAAGTGTTGCATCAGAATGAGATGCTATAATCCTGAGGAAGGAGAACTAACTGCACAGCACCAGCAAGGTAGGGGGTATCCTTTCTGAAAACCTGCTAGGATGCTAAATTAAACTAGAACATCAGGAGAAAACGCTTCATCTAACCGGATTACTTCCTATGTTGCTAGTTTTCTACTTGCACAAAAATGACCATCCAAAATATCCAACCTGAAGTGATACACTTCATCAACATCATATCTCTGCTACTTCAGTACACATCTGTTAATATTTTTAAGCCCGTCTTCCTTCTTCTTTCAAAGAACCAAAGCTGACCTACTAGGTTCCTCTTCTATCTGCTTTATCTATACAAGAACCTTGTGAGGAAGGTCAGGCTGACAGTTCATTCCTGGCCAAAATCCACCGAGGAACTTATGGGTAAGTGAGGACTAGAACCTGGAACTCCTGGGCCATAATCCAACACTCGAACCACTTTACCACACTGGGTAGAACCCATAAGAAGACAAACTTTTCACAGTTGGGTAGCCTCCTCCACTCTGAGGTGTTCCGATTGCACTAGATCATATCTTCCAGTATGCTGGGAGTTGTGATCTAAGAAATCAGGAGGGTGCCAGATTGAGGAAAGCAACACTAGGCAGTTCATGATGTGTTACTAGTCAAACCCTTCCATTAGGAATAAAAAATGTGGGCTTGCTAACCACTTACCTATGGTGTCCACCAGTATTCCAGCTCCCTGTCCTTTAGAAACACCATAATGAGGAATTTTTACACATCATTCATGTACATTATACAGATGCTGGGTCATGTCCCTGATTGCACTCTCTGATGAGGTATGTGGAGCCAGTCTTTTGCTCTGAGCAAACTGGGAGTGACCTAGAATGTTCTCTTGAAGGTCACATCCCATGGCTGTAGATACCAACGGATGGTCAGCAATGGCAGACAAAAGGAACTTGTCCGGTATAAATGGTCTTTTTACCAAGAATGCCTCAGGAACCATACCAAAAATGTCCTGTTGAGTTGATGTAGGAACAAGTAAGAAGAGACAAACCATCATGATCATATACCATATTAAATTAGGTTTGTAAAAAAACGTGGGCATCCAGTGCAGCAGCCCCTATTAAGAAACAGGGTAAAGCAATTTGGATCCATTGTCCCAAGAATTGAGGTATGTGGCCCTCCAGACATTGCTGGGATAAGACTTCCGTCATCCTCACCACTGGCTAGGACTGACCGGAATTGTAATCCAGCAAGATCTGGAGGGTAACCCATTTATCTTCACTACACTAAAGACATTAGAGTTGGGCCAATGTGCTTTTTTGGTTTGAGAAAACTGCCCATTTATCTTGAGGGAGGAAGCAGGTAAGTGGAATGCAACTTCATAACACAAAGCAGAACGAGTTGATCTGTGTGTCTCATAGGCTTATCTACACTGGGCTTTTAGGCCCAAATGCTTCTACGTCTGCTTGTTCCAGATTCTTTGAAAATTCATCCCCCTACCAGGTTTCTATATGTTCCATTACACAGTCATAAGGTGGTGCTGTTGTACAGCAGAATTGCGAAAATGTGTGACAATTTTATATCAATTAATAACATGCTAGCCCTTTAATAGTTCATTAACCTTATTCTTTAAAAAAAGAGGCTGTGGCTGTGCTCAGAAAGCACAGGATGGGCCCTGGAGGATGATAGTGCCATGTAAACACCTGTAAACTACGGTTGGTAAGGCATTATAAAAGCATAATAGATACCTTATGTGGAGAAGCCCATACAGTCACAGTGCTCAGTGTTGAGAAAGGGAGTCTTTCTCCCAGTACAGGGACAGGATAAATGACTTATATCCAATCAGCTGTGGATAATGAACGGACGCTTTGCAGTCTATCACCACTGGATGAGGGGAAAGTGGCAGGGCCTAG